AAAAAATGGACTTATAAGTCAAGAAAATGCATTTATGTTTACTTACTGCTTCAAGATGGAACTATTTCTGAGTACTTAAATACCAAACCACATACTGCTGAATAGTTTAACCTAAAATAATATGTATTTGTTGACTGTATGTTGAGTGTGTGAAATCTGAATGTGCAAAGTAACTGGTAACATGCAGTCAGATACATGCAGTACCATGTTTCCCTTTGGCCCAGAAGAAACTGAATCCTCAGTAGAAGTGAAAATACAGTAACTATATTTCTTTTCTCATATTATTATTATTATTATCTTTGTCTGTTTTCATGAGGATTGGGGAGAAAAGGAAGGGCAGTGCTATCATCATCAAACAAGTGAGTCCATGTCACAGGGAAAACATTGCAAATCTATTCTATTATTGTGTAGTGCACAGGAGGGTTGCATGTTGATGGTGATAAGAGAAGCACTTTGAGGCTATTTTTAAGTTACTGCAAAATATGTCTGAGTTATAATTGTAAAATCATTTTCCATTTTTATATCTAAATATCATCATAAATCTATGACTGGTATGGGCCTCTTTTAGTTAGGAGCTCCAGGTCTTTCTTGCCTAATGGTACAGTCAGTATTAGATCAATCACATATTAATATACTCTATATTTCAACCTATGTGCCCTGGATGTACACGTCAGTGATTTTCTGAAAGATCTGAAAGTAGACAACATATACACTGAACAAAAATATAAATGCAACACTTTTGTTTTTGCTCCCATTTTTCATGAGCTGAACTCAAAGATCTAAAACATTTTCTACATACACAAAAGATCATTTCCCTCAAATATTGTTCACAAATCTGTCTAAATCTGTGTTAGTGAGCACTTCTCCTTTGCTGAGATAATCCATCCCACCTCACAGGTGTGGCATATCAAGATGCTGATTAGACAGCATGAATATTGCACAGGTGTGCCTTAGGCTGGCCACAATAAAAGGCCACTCTAAAATGTTCAGTTTTATCACACAGCACAATGCCACAGATGTCGCAAGTTTTGAGGGAGCGTGCAATTGGCATGCTGACTGCAGGAACGTTCACCAGAGCTGTTGCCCATGAACTGAATGTTTATTTCTCTACCATAAGCCGTCTCCAAAGGCGTTTCAGACAATTTGGCAGTACATCCAACCGGCCTCACAACCGCAGACCACATGTAACCACTCCAGCCCAGGACCTCCACATCCACCATGTTCACCTCCAAGATCGTCTGAGACCAGCCACCCGGACAGCTGCTGCAACAATCGGTTTGCATAACCAAAGAAATTCTCCACAAACTGTCAGAAACCGTCTCAGGGAAGCTCATCTGCATGCTTGTCGTCCTCATCGGGGTCTCGACCTGACTGCAGTTCGTCGTCATAACCGACTTGAGTGGGTAAATGCTCACATTCGATGGCGTCTTCTCTTCACGGATGAATCCCGGTTTTCTGTTCAGGGCAGATGGCAGACAGCGTATGTGGCATCGTGTGGGTGAGCGGTTTGCTGATGTCAACGTTGTGGATCGAGTGGCCCATGGTAGCGGTGGGGTTATGGTATGGGCAGGCGTATGTTATGGACAACGAACACAGGTGCATTTTATTGATGGCATTTTGAATGCACAGAGATACCGTGACGAGATCCTGAGGCCCATTGTTGTGCCATTCATCCACGACCATCACCTCATGTTGCAGCATGATAATGCACGGACCCATGTTGCAAGGATCTGTACACAATTCCTGAAAGCTGAAAACATCCCAGTTCTTGCATGGCCAGCATACTCACCGGACATGTCACCCATTGAGCATGTTTGGGATGCTCTGGATCGGCGTATACGACAGTGTGTTCCAGTTCCTGCCAATATCCAGCAACTTCGCACAGCCATTGAAGAGGAGTGGACCAACACTCCACAGGCCACAATCAACAACCTGATCAACTCTATGCGAAGGAGATGTGTTGCACTGCATGAGGCAAATGGTGGTCACACCAGATACTGACTGGTTTTCTGACCCCCCCAGACCCCCCCAATAAAGCAAAACTGCAAATTTCAGAGTGGCCTTTTATTGTGGCCAGCCTAAGGCACACCTGTGCAATATTCATGCTGTCTAATCAGCATCTTGATATGCCACACCTGTGATTATATTTTTGTTCAGTGTATATTATCACTCCCATATCTAATGTTAGATTTCTGCATAGCTCGACATCATATTAAAAACTACAAAGGGAATGCCAAGCTAAGCCATGTAGTGACTCTGTCAGAAGTGTGTGAGTAAAACAGCCTTGGGTTAACTGTCTGTAAAATATATTGGTCATCTACCCCTTTTCAACAGTCATGGGCTGGCTTGGCTTGGCTTAGTTTTGTTTGGTTAGGGCCATTAGGGTCATCAACCAATGATGTCGTTTAAAGGCAGGGGCTGATCCACGACTATTCACAATCCTCTGTTACTTTTGCTGCATGTGTTTTTCACAGCAGGGCAGGTAAAAGAGGTTTACCTGTTGAAGGTGAGCTGTTTGCAGGGCACTAAAGAAAACATCTCACTGTGGCTGCCTCTGCTTTTCCGTTCCTCCCTGTGGCATTATTAGACTTGACTTTATTGAAGAAAGGCCCAAGTTTGGCTAATTGAGTGATAAACACATTAATTTCCCATTAATTCTTCACAATAAAAGTCCCCTGTTATTTTGTTGTGTAAAAACTCTTAAGTGTGAAGCAGCAAAATAAGGAAATGTTGAGTTTTCGAGCAGCAACTTCATAGAAAGTCTAATACAGCTGATAGCTAATCAAGAAATAGTAAAATAAAACAGATATTTAAAGTAAAAACAGGACACAGGAGAGAAACTAAACTCCAAACCACAGAGATTCAGTTAGAAGCTACAAAAGTACTAAGAGCTGAACACACAAAGACTCTAAATAATGCCTTTCTCTCTGATCTCCTGCAGACAGAGGTGAGGAAAAGGTCTGGAAAAGGTTCATCTCTGGCGCAGCTCAGCATGGCACGGCATGTCTAAACTGATAAGTTAAATCAACTGCGTTTTTTATAGGTTCTTCAAAAGTTATTATTAGTTATTATTTGCTGTCTTGTACGGCGGCATATTGGTTCCACCATGATAAAACCCAATATTCTGCTCACTATCTCATTATAATGAAAAACTTTTCAAGTTTAACAATACTCTTTTAATGCTATAACAACATATTTTTCATGTAATGATACCAAATTATTGAGTTTTTACAACCTCTTTTTTTTTTTTTTTACAACAAATCACTTAATTTGATTAAAAAAAACAGCAAAAAACAAACAAACATGTATCTCATTAAAACAAACTTTTCTCAATATAATATGATAAACTGTTGTTATAGTAGGAAACTTCCATATAAGCCTGTCCTAAAAACTACTTTTGGTGGATGATACATTGTCCCAGAAATAACTGCGATAAACAATGCTGAAGACCATTTTATGCCACTGATATTTTGATTATAAAATCGCAAATACACACTCTCAAAAAAATTCATTGGGGATTGGAATATGAAAAAAACTCAAAATATCCTCAATAAATGAAACCTAAAAAAATACTACAGAATTTTTTTTTTTCAAATTGACTCTCTGGTTCTGGTAACAATTTGCACTTAAATAAATACGAAACATTTGGCACGGCGGCATAGACAGTAATTCCTTAACAGGCAAAACTCTGCTGTTTATTCCGGCATCTTGTTGGCTAAAATGTTGGTGACATTCTGATGTAAACACAAAAGCATCTGAACACAAGGGGGATATCGTATAATATATGGACATGACCTCAATAATTTTTTAAGAAGTTAATAAGTCGATGACATAATTATCCTGACAGGCCTACTTACATATGGCATTTACAAGAAGATGGAGAGACTGTAGCCTACATTGGCCAGAAAAAAAACTATAATGTGTGGTCAAAATGTTGTTTACTCTGGTTTTTTCTTTTTTGTTTTGTTTTTTATGCTTGGGACTCAGAAGGATGAAGTACCATCGGGGCTGCAGTGTGGTTGAGCTTGCTCTAGGACAAAAGGGTGTGGGCATCCTGGACAAGTCACCAGTCTATCACAGGGCTGACACAGACAGACACACAAGCTTCTCTTCTCTTCTTCTTCTCTTCGTATTTCGGCTGTTCCCTTTAGGGGTCGCCACAGCGAATTATCTGCCTCCATCTAACCCTATCCTCTGCATCCTCTTCTCTCACACCAACTGACTTCATATCCTCTTCCACTACATCCATCCTTCCTCTAGGCCTTGGCAGTTCCAACCTCAGCATCCTTCTACAGATATATTCACTATCCCTCCTCTGAACATGTCCAAACCATCTCAGTCTGGCCTCTCTGACTTTATCTCCAAAACATCTAACATGAGCTGTCCCTATGATGTACTCATTCCTGATCCTATCCACCCTTGTCACTCCCAAGGAGAACCTCAACATCTTCATCTCTGCTACCTCCAGCTTTCCCTCCTGTCTTTTCCTCAGTGCCACTGTCTCTAAACCAAACCACATCGCTGGTCTCACTTCCGTCTTGGACACCTTTCCTTTTAATCTTGCTGGTACTCTTCTATCACACATCTCACACCTGACACTTTTCTCCACCCGTTCCAACCGGCTTACACACATTTTTTCACCTCTTTTCCACACTCTCCATTGCTCTGGACTGTTGACCCTAAGTACTTCCTCCACCTTAGTTACTAGTTAGATATGTTATTATTGTGTTATAACAAAAGTTTATTTTTAAACATGTTTCTTGTTAATAAAATGAGTGATGAGTGAATGAGTGAGTTATCTAGTAATAATGAGAGCATATGTCTTAACTGGAAGAATATCTTGCTATGTAAAAGGGATCTTTTAAACACTGAGGAAATGTCCTCATTAAAATGACAAACAGCAGATTTTTTTTCGTCACAATGGCGGCAACGCACTTCTCTATGTTGTATTTAATATTCCATACATAAGTAGAAACATGGGGTTGAAGATGATGAAGTACCTTGTATCCAGAGTTGTCTTGATTTAGGTTGTGGTCTTGCTGTGATCTTGTGCTCTGAGGCCCATGCCAGGTCTCCAGCAGTGGGAGGATGCTGAGGGCGTTGTCCTGAGTGATGGGCATCCTGGCATCCTGGGCCTGTTGGGGAGTCCCTCACCAACAGCCGCTCTGATGCTTCCAACAGTTAGTGCAGACACAGGAACCAGTGTGGGCTGATGGCCCCAAATCCATCTCTGAAAGAGGAGGGCTGCAGAGTAACTGGACAAACTCTACTCAGAGACTTCCAGATGAGCCAGGGTGGAAAAAACTGGATGACTGACTGGATAGGTCTGCAGCATCAGGCCATGTCCTAAAGACAACACAAGAACATTTTACATTGAAGTAGGAGATAAAAAGGTGTATAAAAATAAATAACATCAATGAAAATATTTTTCCAATTTTTTGTTTTTGTAACTCTGCCCATATCTCCTCTTTTTGTATTTAGTAGGTCAGCATAACAGATGTAATGTTAATGAATAGTCCATATTTAAAAAATACTTGATTTTTAAGAATAATTCAAATACCAGATAAAGGCCAATTAGCTAATGATTCACAATTATGAATGTCTGCCAGAATTTTCCAGTACATGTATTTACACACAGTATATCTTACAGTTTACATTTTGCAGAAATCTGAATTTGTGTCAAAGGCAATAAACTGGATGCCCAAGACAAAAAAAACTTTCTCTGGTATAGAATGCCACTGAACACATCTTGCTTTCACTTTTCTTAGCTGAACACGTTAATACTGACCATCCTCAATAACCAGAGCTGGCCATGCCCATTAAACCATGTAGGCAGTTGCCTGGGGCCCCATGGAAAATAATTTTTTAATGAACAAGAGACAAGAGATCATAACAAAAAAAAAGCACAATTTTGTGCTATTTTTGTTAACAAATATTGCCAAAACCACATGCTCAGAGACAAAATGGATGATTTAGGTAGGCTAAGAAAGTAATTTATTGTCCCCCTCCAGAACAAGCACTCCCAGGATTCTGTAGTTTAAAAAAAATCAGTTGAATAAAATTAATAAGCAAGACAACAACAAAAGTCCCAAGCTATTGCTCAACAGATTACCAACATTACAGCCTATGATTTAAATTAAAGGAATAGGTCAGATTTTTATAAGTTCGGTTGTATGAGGTAGCTACTTATCCACAGACAGTATATTACATACAGTAGATATCAGTCAGCACACCACCAGTTTGGAGAAGCTGTCTTAAGTATGACATGGAAGCTAAGCAATCCACTGCTGTGGAGGGGTCAGCAACAAAGCATATTTTAGTCACTTAAGCTTTAGTCACCAGTTTCAATGTACATTATATTTAGAATATTTTCACTGTTTCACCTTAATGTCAGCCAGTGATTTCCACCAAGAAAATGAAGCCATTATATCTCTCTTTAAAGCCAGATTCCATTGACAAAAACTGTATTTTCACATTGCTGAACACAGGAGCTGCTGGTCTACCACTGCCTCGATCAGTTAGTTAGTTTTTGCTATTGTGTGACTTTGGCATATAGAAGTGTAATTTCAGATTCACCAAAGTCACACAATAACACAAACTAACTAACTGATTGAGGAGGTGGTAGACCAGCAGCAATGTTAAAATAGAGTTTTTGTCAATGGAATCTGGTGGCTTTGACGAGAGCATTGATGGGGAACTGAAGCTGTTAAGGTAAAGTGGTGAAAATTACCCTCAAGGTAGCATACACTTAAACTGATAAAGACTTTTTTAGGTGGCTAAAATATGTTTTCTTGCTGACCCCCCACAGCAGTACATTGCTTAGCTTCCAAGTCAGAGTCCAGCCTGTTTCTCCAAGCTGTGGAGGAGCAGACTCACATCTACTGTATGCAATACACTTACTATGGATAAGTATCCCATACAACTCCACTTCAAAAAACCCAAACTATCCCTTTAAATAAATTACATTTGAAGTTCAGTTCAAAAAGACCATTAAGAACATTAAATCTAGTGTTGCTGCTGATAGATCCCACTTTAGTCTTTAACATGCTTATTTGTCCATTATGTTTCCTTAAACCAATATTTACATTACAAAAGTTGGTTCAGTGCCATGTAAGGTTCCAACACATTTCAATGAGGAGGGGCCCCCAAACTGAATCCTGCTTAGGGCCCCCATAAGTCTAGAGCCGTCCCTGGTGTGAACTTTCACTTTATCTGAGGTTGAGCCATGACAACACTTTTTAAGTGCCTCTTATTTTAGTTTATTTACGCTAAGTCTATCCATTTATAGCAATGTACAACATCCTGAAATACACCAAAGCTAAAAAGTGCCTGGTCTCACCCCACTGAAATAAATTAAAACCAACAACTGCCTGGTTGATAAAAAAGAAATCTATAAATGTATGCTTTACTTCCATAACTTATAAGGCTATGCTTTGTAATTGGCTAACAGTAATGTTAAGTTCACTGTAAATGGTGTGAAGCACACTAAACAAGCAAGAGTCCTTCAGGGGCCCCATTCACAATGAAAGGCTCCTAAGTGAGGAATCTGGGTTGACCCTTCATCTCCATGCTTAACTATAGACAGAGAGCTGAGTGCAGCCACATCTGTGGCAGATATAGACAAAAACGCAGGCTACCATGAGACCACACTTTAATGACTATGCAGAGCTTGGGCTTCAAATAAACTGTTGGTCTTTGTGGTACCATCTGCCTCTACTATTCCTGTACACTCCAAGTGAAGGCAAACAGGGCCTGCCCTGCTCTGGCCTGAACTGAACCACAGACTGGAATAGGAGGTGTGAGTTTACAAGAAGGTAGTGAAGGTGAGGGTATAGTAGGAGCTCGGGGAGACGGAGCTTTTACACTGTGATATTAGGAGGCAAAGAAGACAGTAACAGTCATATAATAGATGACTAAGGAAGTCCAAGAGATGAGGGGGAGCTTTTCTGGGTTTAGCTAAATATGCAGCATTCTTAAAGGGCAGCTCCTCCCATTCAGGGGGAGATCAGCCAACAGCCATATGTTATGCACATAGTCTGGTACTGGCTCTTTCTTTGACTTTTTTTTTGCATTATTGCTGATCTTATTTCTATCTTACTTACCAATCATTTTCCTTTGTATGACTTATTCTCCTACTTCCACTATCGCTAGCAATCTAACTCCTAAGGCTTAGACCTCCACCACGTCCAGTACCTGAAATATTTAAATCCAATGTGATAGATTATCATTTACACATCTCCAAATCTGTAAGCCGAATATAGTATATGTACAAGAAACAAATCTTCATAAAACAGAACACTGCAGACTTAAGTGGAACTGAAAAGCCCAAATAAATCAATCTAAATTTAATGCCTGAGCCAGAGAAGTAGCAAATACTCATTAGCCCATTTTACACAGAGAGCGCACAATATATACAGGGCCACTAAGAAGTCCTTCCTTTAGTCCTGCCGGCTTCATGGAAGCCAGTCAACATTTGTATGTGTGACCCACGTGCGCTGAAAAATGGGCCCTATATGGGATTACTCACAGGTTCTATAATTGCTTTATGCCAACTACCCAAATGGGTGGGTTTACCTGAGTGGGCCCCACATGGGTTATGCTAGGATTACCAAGTGGGTATGGGCCCAAAATGGGAATCTTATCTGGGGCCCACTTGGGTAAACCCATTGAAGTGGGCAGTTGGCATGTGGCCATCATGGACCTGTGGACAGTCCCATATGGGGCCCATTTTTCAGCCCATTTTCTACCCACATGGCCCCAAATTTAAATGTTGGCTGAGCAGCGTGACGGGTGTGACATGTAACATACGCATCTGCAATGCGTTCTAAACAATAACAATGGCATTAACATGGCAATAACAATTATTTACCATCTCTGTTATATGGCAACTGATGTCCTCTTTTCTGAGAGTAAGGAGCTCCCAGACCCAGAAGCTAGCTGCTAACTGCTACAAGCTACTATCTAAACCATCCGCAGTGGGACGCACACATAACATGTCATCAAAACATCACAATCACATCGTCCATGATCTTGTCCTTCCAGCTTTCCCTTTTATACAGACATTGTTTCAACGCTGTTATTACCCCCGATGCCGCCTTCAAGGTGAGACACCTCTGTCCCCCCCATTCCGCACTTTAAACTTTTATACAGAACACTGAGGTGGCACAACAGTGTGAAATTCCCACTTTGATGAGGCAGTGTGGAAGGGGCTACTTAGAGCTAGAATTACTTAGTCACAGTTGTATATCTCTGCCAACCAGTCAAGTAAAAATTTACATTTATGTTCCTCCAGACTCATATGTAGCCATGACAGTTGACAATGCTTCAAATATGGATGGCGCTGCAAAGATGCTGGAATTTCTAAAATGTGGATGCTTCACACACATCTTCAGCCTAGCATAGAAGATCTATATAATTAGCACCATTTTAAGGTGGGCACCCAAGATTAGTGTCAACAATTCAGTATTTAACCAAATGTCTCCCTTTCTGTTTTGAGAAATGTTTTTGCAGAAAATTATGATGTCACAGTAAAGCTGACCTTTGACCATTTGGATATATGGTTTCATCACTTCATCAATATATCCTATTAGACATGTGTGTCAAATTTTGGCGAAATTAGCGCATGAATTCTTGAGTTAAGGCCAAGTGAATGTTTGTGTCAAGGCACTCTTCAGATATTGCGTTCACCAGTACGCAGAAAGACATAGTGACATACATACAGACAGACAGCCAATCCAAAAAACATAATACGCTTGGCCACAGCTATGCAGAAAACATTTCTAAGTTGTCAATTTGGCTATCCGCATTTCGTGATGGTGAGGGTCCTGTCCGGTCCTCTTCCGAACTACACTCAAACTTACCATCTCCCCTATCTCCTTGTTTTGCTCCCTCTTATTCTTAAAGTTACAAATCCTTAGTTCAAACTACTGTTGTCATGTAGGTGGGGGAAGTGGAGGGATCCAAATGCAGACAATGCAGACGGTCTGGATCCAGGCAGAAGAATTCAGTGATTTATTGATAAACTAAGCTTACAGGCAAGTACAGGTAGAGGTTGTAAAACAGAGGCATGAAGCAACATGGCAACTTGCAACACAGAAACTCTGATGATCAGACAGGGGGTGGAAATGTGCTCATTTAATACTGCAGGGTTAATGGGGGCAAGTGGACACAGGTGAGCAGGTGGGTGGGGAAGGTAAGGTGACTGGGACTGGAGGCTTTACTTCACGAGAGATAAGGGAAGGTGGAAGAGTCTGAGGGCGCCTGGTGGACAGGGAGAGAATGACAATGAACTGGCTTGGGGCAGGGATGCACTGATTTATCAGCCAAATATCTGTACCAGTCAACAT